GACCCTTCACCTTACCAAGCATGATGTCCTTCTCCAGGGACTGTTTTTTCTTAATAACATGTCCAAAGCAAGTGAGATGAAGTCTCACTATCTAAGTTTCTAAGGCACATTCTGGCTGCATGTCTTCCAACAGAGATTTGTTTGTTCTTCTGAAAGTCCATGGTATATTTAACATTCCTTGCCAACACCATAATTCAAAGGCATCAATTTTTTGACCTTATTGTCCAGCTTTTCCACGCATACGAGAGTGATTGAGAAAACCATGGCTTGGTTTATAGTCTTCAAAGTGACATCATTACTTTTTAACACTTTAAAAAGGTCTTTTGCAGTAAACGCAATGCAATATATCCTTTGATCTCTTGACTGCTGCTTCTATGGCCGTTTTGATTGTGGATTCAAGTAAAATGAAATCCTAGGCAACTTTGATCTTTATAGTGATGTTATTATAGTCCATTTGTGAGGATTTTTGTTTTCTACTGAGGTGTTGTCCATACTGAAGTCTAAGTAAAGGGAAGATCGTATGTTTCAGCCCTTACGCTATCATTATTGGATGTCTTCAAATACTGTGTGCTGTTCTGCTCTGCATGCTGGAATACAAACCCTGGGTTCTAGAAAATTCTGATCAACACCCTCTCTAATGACAGTTTCTTCACAAAGCCCATTCTGATTTCCCAACCTCAATTTTCTGGACGCCCTTATGCTTAACTCTTAGACTACCCTCCTGTACTTCAGTAGATGGACTTGTCTCTGAAGAGGCGTGGCAGTGGTGTGTTTTGTTGCCACCACGCCCCCTTCACATCCCTCCTTCTTTCTGGTACATTCTATCATGTTCTCTCTCAACCCGTGGTCATTTTTTTTTTTTTTTTTTTTGCCCTCAGAAATGAGCCTAGATTTAGTTCTTTACATTTCACTGTGACTTTTAAGACAAGTTGTTGCTAACTCTCTAGAGCTGCCCACACTTCAGAGCTGAGCATTACCAGTACAACAGAATTATAAATGTACTTTGTCCCCAAGAGAGTACTTTGATCCCCAAGAGAGTAAAGTGTCGTTGAACAGGGATTTTATGAGGAAGGAAATCCTTTTAGGTGCTTTTGAACTCAGGGCATTTTAATGACTTCTTGTAGCTTAAGTTCAAGTCTGGTCTGCTCCCATGGTTAGCAATGTTCCCTCACTTTTTTGATGTGTATACACTGTACAGCAGTGAAGACATCAGACGACGTATTGCATTAGGTAAATCTGCTGCACAGGAACTTTTTAAAGTGTTGAAGAGCAAAGATCTCAGCTTGAGAACTAAGGTGCGCCTGATCCAAGCCATGGTATTTTCAATATGGATGTGAAAGCTGGACAGTGAATAAGGAAGATAGTAGAAGAATTGATGCCTTTGAATTGTGGTGTTGGAAGGGAATACTAAAAGTGCCATGGGCTGCCAAAAGAACCAATAAATCTGGTTTGGAAGAGGTGCAGCCAGAGTGCTCCTTAGACGCCAAGATGGCTAAACTTTGTCTCTCATACTTTGGACATATTGTCAGGAGGGAACAGTAGCTGGAGAAGGATATCATGCTGGGTAAGATGTGTTATGACCAAAATTCGGGGTCCCCAAAGACCACCAAGGAGCCGACACCGATGCAAGTGCACAAGGGTTGTTTATTCAAGCTCGAGCCTGGGCCTTCTCCGTATCCAGCACAGCGGACTCGGGAAAAGGCCCTGAGCTCTTTGTTAGCGGAGTTTTTATAGAGTTTTCAAACAAGCTTAGGGTTTTTCAGCTTTACAGTATTTGGATTGGTTGACATTTGGCAAAGTATGAGATGTTACAGTTTAATTGGTCAGTACTGGTGGTCTTTTGTTCTTAGGCTAGGATAAGGAAAACATCTGGCATCTGGCCTTGGGTTGTCCTGTCTACTGCTTATCTAGTTCTCACTGTTGCTAGGGGTGAAAGGATATTCTAAGGCAGCATGAGCTGATTTAGCACGTTCCTGGAACAGGAGGACGTGTTCAGGCTAATGTACAGAATGGAGTCTTTTTCTTGGTCCTACAGATGGAGGGTCGGAGAGAAAGAGGAAGACCCCCAACGAGATGGACTGGCCAGGTGGCAGCATTCATGGACTCAAATGTGACAGCGGTAGTGAGGTTGGCCCAGGATAGGACATTGTTTCATTCTGCTGTGCATAGGGCCGCTATGGTCGGTTCCAACTCGATGGCACCTGACAACAACAACAACAAACACTGTACAGGTTTTCATTTTATCAGAAGCTTCCAATAGTTTCAACTTGGAGGCTGTCATGGCTTAAACTGTGTCTCCCCCTTCCTCTCCCCCACACAAATATACGTGGTCAGCTTGGCTGGGCCATGATTCTCAGTGGTTTGGAGTTACATGCTAATACCAATGATGGGATCTGGAGTGAGAAACCAGTAAGAGGATTAAGGTGGAATCCTGGTGTGATGCTGTAGGATAAGCACTGGACTGCTAACCACAAGGTCGGTGGTTCAAACTCACCAGCCACTCCTTAGAAACCCTATATAGGGTCACTATGAGTCAGAACTGACTCAATGGCAATTAACATCGCCACCCCCAATCTTAGTCCCATTATGACCCTGATCCGATGTAAGGGAGATTCCCATGGTTGTAGAATGTAATACCTTTTATCTTATAAGAGATAAAGAAACACACCTGTTCAGGACACAGAGCTCCATAATGAGGACATAAACGAAGAAAGAAAGTCGTCAGCAACAGAATTTTATTAGAGAAACTTAAAATTTCATATTCTACCCTGATATAAGAACAGCAAGGGATCTATTTCTGACTGTAGTTGAGATCATGGCTAAAGCAGAGAAAGTTACAATATGAGTATCTGTAAGTTAAGGAATACAATTTAAGTATGAAGCAAAACAACTTTGGTATATTCTTGTTTCTCTGGCTTTCCTTCTTGCCTGGATCTATACAGGGCCCACCCATACTTAGCTGAGTTGGGACAAGATACAAATAGTTGGGGAACTCATTTAGAAGTTTCCACACCCTAAGCAGCTAGGAATCCCACTGTGACACTGTAGGATAAGCACTGGACTGGCAAACCACAAGGTCAGCAGTTCAAACCTACTAGTCACTCTTGGAAACCCTATACAGGGTCACTATGAGTCAGACCCGACTCGATGGCACACAACAAACAGTGAGGAATGCAGAAGTTCTAGAATGCAGCTGTTTACGAGGCAACTATCATTTTTTGGGGGAACTGAAACCATCAAAGACCAAGTGTCCACATTTCTACTGCGTATGTCTAAGTTTACTTGAATTAGCTCCTGAGTATATTTAAGAGCACTTTAAAATACAAAGGCAAGTGATACTATGAGAGAAGCAGTCATTTTTGTAACTGTGAGAATAGTAACGCAAATTGTTATACCCAGGTTTTTAACCTAAACATCATGGTCTCAGACAAAATGATTACTTTAAAATCAACTTGCTTTCAGTAATGTTAACATGCCTACATATGTGTCTCGAGCTTACGGCTCATGTGTGTTCACAGCTGCATTTCTATTTCTCTACACCAAGATATCCCCAAATAACACGCATCAAATCAGCCTCTTTACACATCTCAAGTCAAATCTTTGGAGAGACAGACTCCGTGTGTTTTACATAGTTGGCTTTTCCAACTTTTGAAGACACATGAAAATGCTCATTTCTGCAACTACAATGAAAATATGACTTTCTAACTTCAATTCAAACTCCACTGTGGTCAAGTTTGAAACCCTCAATACTGCTGCTCAAGTTTGTTAATGACCAAAATAGATGTGCTTTTCCACATACAGAATTTGTCAGAGAAATTTTCTATGGGTTTACAATTCAGCAGGAGTGAGGGACGGTTGCTGATTATTCCTAGGCAGGTAAATCCTCATCTTTGGGGTGGAGGACTGAAATACTCAGCTGGGTGTCCTGCCAATGTGCATCTCATAAATTTTACAAACAGTTGATTAGGTGAAACCGTGAGGATCATGCAATCTCTGGGAACTTCCTCTCCACAACCACTTTGGGGTCATTTCTTAACACTCTTCTCAGGAGCAATGAAAAGTTTACTTCTTTGTACCGTTCTCATATGCCTCTTCTCCCGACATGCTTCACGTTAACTTTTAGTTAAAATCACCACTCGCTGAGAGACTTATTCTCTGCAATTACTCAGGGCAAAAGAACATTTAATAAAAGAAATAATAAATAAAGATATAATGTTGAAATATGCATTTGGTAGCACTAATTTAAAAATGTGCCTTTTTAATTATGTCAAAAAATAGTCAGACTGGTAAATGTGAGAGAACTTAAGGCGAGAGCTCCGAGGTGGCGAGGCTCTCTCTGTCAGACTGCATGACAAAAATGGTTTTAGAATCAGATCTACAGCGGAATGCCATTTTAGGACTCCAGGTTAGAGAAAAACTGGGTTTCCAGGAGTGGCATTTTAACAACAACAACAACAAAAAAAAAACACAACAAAAAACAACCCTAAACTCTCTGGCCTTGGCTTGGTCTGACATCTGTGCAAAACGAGATGCATTAATAGCCATCTTAAGCTAAAAATAAAATTTGGTTCAAATTAAACATACTAACTAAGGTGATTGATTTCAATCCTGGTTACCAATGTAAAAATTTTAATAAAAATTTACAGCATTATAAATTTTTCAGGTTTGCTCCACACAAACGGGCTTTCTACACAGGGTTGTACCCAAACGCCCATAGGCGCTGTCATTATATATTTACACAAGAGCCTCTAATGGGAAGTCACCTTTGGCAATCCGGAAATATATAAACTATGAGCTCCCACAGTGAGAATATATACTTGAAATGTTGTGGCCTCGAAGAAAGGAAAGAATGAAGGAAGGGCTCATCTGTCAGAACAATTCAAGAGGACACAAACATTTCTCCCATTTAATTACCTTATCGTTATTAGTCCTAATGCTAGAAAAACAGAGATAGACCAAAAAGGCAGAGTGTGTTTGTTGGACACGTCGTCACATTTGAGTTATAAGGGAACATGGCTGAACAGGTAAGACACGGATTCACCGTTGTGTGTCCTCCGGATGGCCTCCGCCAATATCATGGAAATGTCAATTACCTAAATGCCAGTGGGGAAGAAAAAGGGAAGCAGAAAATGAGTCACCACAGTTACATTCATTTAAAAGCTGCAAAGTCAGAAGGCCTAGAAATTAAGACCTTAGGCACTCATTGGGTTTGTCTTCAAATTACAACCTGTTCAACCAAACCTGTAAGGGATACTAGAAGCCAGATATTTGGGATAAAGATAGTATAAACATAGTGACACTATAAGATAAGCACTGGACTGCTAACAGAAAGGTTGGCAGTTCAAACCCATCAGCTCCAAGAGAGAGAGATGAGGCTTCTGTTCCCATAAAGAATTGCATCTTTGAAAACCCTATACAGGGTCACTATGAGTCAGGATCGACTCAACGGCACTTAATGATAACAACAACCCCTGTTTACAGCAGGAGAAAAATGAGGCAGTCTGCCCCGGTAAAGATTTGTAGCCTCACAAACCATACAGAGCAGCTCTCCTCCATCCTATATGGAGTCACTATGGGGTGGAATATACTCTGATGTTAATGAGTTTTACTTTGCTTTTATATAATTCCATTCAAAATTGGCCTGTGATTATCTAACTGGGGACAGAAAACGTCTTGTTCTTTGAAGGCCAGACGGTCTCTTTCACAAATACTTCATTCTAAGCTGTAGTACTAGAGCAATCACAGATGAACGGCATGGGCTTAGAACACTACCAACTTTAGTAACCAAAACAGAGGGCAGGGCAGGCATGGCCCATGGGTCACTGTACCCCAAAGCACAGCTAAGGTGGTGGTGGTGGTGGTGGTTATGTGCCGTGGAGTCGGTTCTGACTCCGAGGCTGCAAATCTTTACAAGAGCAGAAAACCTCATGTTTCTTCCATGGAACAGCTGGTAGTTTCGAACTGCTGACCTTAAGGTTCACAGCCCAATTTGTAACCACTATGAGTAGATAGCCTATTTTGATCATTCTTAAGTGGAGCTCCTTCTCCTACATGAATGGTTTTGCTCTCATGACTGTTTAAGGAATCATTTAACAGCTGACTTGCATCCACCTTCATTGCTCTACTGATGGGAATATGAAGGGGATGAAATGGCTTGCCAATGTTCCTGGTGATGCAGAGACAAAATGGGAACTCAACCCTTTCCCACAAATTTCAAGTCAGCGGCGGAAGGCAATGGTCTCACCTCTGGTGGCCAATGAATGTCAAATCAGGAACGAAGCTCAGAAAACCCTCCGCATAGCCTGCTTCTTACTGGTATTCAGTGGCAATCGACCGTGCCCAAAGAATGCACTGACTTCTGAAGGGCGTGGCCTTTGTCAAGATCTCACGGGATTTAGAGGCTCATGTCACCTAGCGTTACAGTCTCTGCCCACACAGAAGGGACCTGAAAGGCAGGGGCCTCGCTGCGTAGTGCCTCCCACAGTGTAGTCGGTACCTGAATCTTGGAGCAGTGTCTCATTTTGTCCTCTTGCGGAATTGTGTTTGTGACGACCACCGCCTCAAAGGCAGCATTATTGATTCTGGAAATGGCCGGCCCAGAGAAGATTCCATGGGTCAGGATAGCATAGACTTTGGTGGCTCCAGCTGAAAGTAGCCTGTAACAGAAGATGAATAATTAGGCATACTCTTGTGAAAAAGACGCATGTTCCATAAAGGAAAATGGGAAACAAATGTCACTTACAGCTACTAACCTAAAGCAAGATTTTTTTTTTTCTTCAGTGTTGTTGTTGTTGTTAAGTGCCGTCGAGTCGGTCCCGACCCATAGCGACCCTGTACAGGGTTTCCGAGGGTGTAAATCTTCAGTGTATGTCAGCAAAATACTTTGTATTACATTTTATCAACCTCACTCCTCTGTGGCGCTGTTGAAAATCAGTTAAGAACCAAGCACTGGACTGCTAACCGCAAGGCTGGTGGCTTAAACCCATCCAAGGCTCCTTGGAAACCCTATACAGGGGCATTATGAGTAGGAACCGCCTCTGTGATGACACTTAACCACCACCACCTCAGCACTGTTGACATTTGGGACTAGATCATTTTCTGCTGTTGGGGGAGAGGGTGGATCCGCACACTGTAGAATGTTTAGCAGCATCCCCAGCCTGTACCCATTACATGCCGATAGTGCCCTCCCTCGAAGATGTGACAAGATAAACTGTTTCCCAGACATTACCTGGGGGAAAAACTCACCTAAAATTGAGAACCATTGACTTAGCCCCATTGAGTCCATTCCAACTCACACCAATGCTATATAGGGTTTCCAAGGAATGGCTGGTGGGTTTGAACCACTGACGTTGTGGCCAGAAGTCCAGTGCTTATCAGTGCCACACCAGAACATGTAATCAACCTTAAATTACAGATGAGATACTTGACATTCTTGGGTTCAAACTAAGTCTTGGAAACCTGGTACATCTTTTACCTTTTGGCACATCTCAGTTTGGACTAGCCTCAGTCCCAGGGCTGAGCAGCCACATGAGCTGACATGGCCCACATTCTGCCTAGACACACCTTGGCAGCCAAGTGAAGGGAAGGCCAAGCAGAAGACAGCAAGGATGTGAAGAAGCCCACGGGATGGTCTTTCCTTCTGTGCTCAGCCATAGATGGAGTGCTTCCTGAGACCCCTTTTAACACACTGAAATTCAACTTTGAAAATGGGAATCAGAGCACAAAGGCCCGTGGTATCTTTCCTACCAAGGAATCAATAAAAAGAAATGGGCCTTGAATCTCCTTCAGTCTAGAACTCATTGCTAAGCAACCAGAAATGAGTAAGAACAATAGGCCTGAGTTTGAAAAACTAACCATTTGTCCCCTGTTACCCTCCACGCCCCAGAGCACCCCACGTACTTGTCGGCAGCATAGCATATTGTGCCGCAGGTGTCGGCCATGTCGTCCACCAGGATGGCCACACGGTCCTTCACGTCACCCACCAGAACCATCCGATCCACCTCGTTTGCCTTCTTCCTCTCTTTGTGAATCAAAGCAAACTCTACATTCAACCTGTCCGCAATAGATGTCACCCTGCACAAAGATATAGACACATTCAGTACAGCTGTACAAAACTTGAATCTGCAGAGCTTGGTAACCACCTACATGCACCCTAATGAGAAAAACCAAGTCTTCTCCTTCATAAGCCAGGCATGGTATGGGAGATGCACTAAGCAAACCATGATGAAGGGGACTAGTGAGGTGACCTTGAACTCATGGCAGCTGTGAGTGAGGCATTAACTGTCAGCAATTTGTTAATGGGCTTTACTGTGTTTGGGTCTTAAACCACGAGTCAGTTCCTTGGTCCATGGACAGGAAAGGTCCAAAATGTCTTTCTTTGGCTAGGGAGGGATTGAGCTAGCAGCAGAAAGAACGTGGGCAGGCCAAGCTGGGTAGGAGCCCAGGCATTTTGGTTTTTCTTTTGAACCGAAACCAGTTGCAGTTAAGTCGATGCTGTCTCATGGCGCCCCCTTGTGTGTCAAAGAAGAACTGTGCACCATAGGTTTTTTCAGGGGCTGAATTTTCAAAATAGTAGATTGGCAGGCGTTTCTTTTGAGGGCTGGTGGACTCGAACCTCCAACCTTTTGGTTATAGTAGTCATGAATGTTAACTGTTTGTGTTACCCAGAGACTTCTTTTCTTTGAAAAGGGGCTTAAATGACAAAAGTTACTTTGAAATATTGCCATAGACTCTGTGACATAAGAGATTCCCCTCGTCTAGTGTGGCACTGGGGGGTTAATGCACCAGACTGCAAAGTCGTTTGAACTGCAAGGTCGGCAATTCAAGCTCACCAGCTGCTCCTCGGAAACCCTATACAGGGTCGCTATGGGTCGGAACTGACTTGACGGCACTTAACAACAACAAAGTTATTAAAGTAACAATCAGTCAGGATGCAATTCAACTGAGAGAACACATTTATTGAGGAAATCCCCCACCCACACATACGCAATCATATCTGTGCAGCGAGTAGAAAACATAACCTTCAAAAACAGATTTTTAGAGATCTTGTCCCATATTTTGGGTCGGGGGGATGGCAATAGTCTCAATCCAGTGCATCATCCCGGAACTCCACGTATGCTCTGCTCACAGGGAGAGAGGGTAAACTTCAGAGAGGAAGGAGAGCACTCGGAACTTTGAGGTCCCCTTGTCCCCCCAATTCTGGGCAAATTCAGTGTTTTAATATTTTCTTCCATATAGAAAGAACTCCACTTCCAAGTTGACACAGAAGAGCACATTTTGGCATGATGGCCAACTAGGCAGCCTGGTTACCCTTCCCAGTGGGAACACCTAAAATCCTAGATTAAGGAGGGGAGAATGTTATAAACACTTCACTGAGCAGGTGTGGTAGCAGAAAGCCTGAACAATAAGCATGCAGCTAAGTTCATGTGCCCTCTGGTGGCTGCATCAAGACATTGCCTAGAACAAGTCAAGCCGCCAAGCTTTTTTTTTTAAATTCTAAAGCAACACACTACAGAGTCAGACAGACAAAGCATTTTCCTGGGTGAAACTGGATTTGTGCATCATGTAAGTTAAGCCACTGGTACTGTCAACTGTATGTGTCTTGTGTTACTTCCGTGGCTATTCTGAGGGGCTTGTCATCTGAGGACAGTCCACTCCAGGGTATGAGGGTGACAAGGATGTGAAGCAGAAACTTTCAAGAACAGCCGGGAGGTGGCAAAAATTCCAAAACGTCCACTTCTCAAAAGCTTGGTTTTCCTGGCAGATGGTCCACGGCAAGGAGGAGAAGTTGAGTGGGACTGCTTTGTGGGAACCATGTTGTTGTTGTTGTTAAGTGCCATCGAATCGGTTCCAACCCATAGCGATCCTGTATAGAGTTTCCAAGGAGTGACTGGTGAGCTTGAACCACCGACCTTGCAGTCTGGCACATTAACCCACAGCAGGCATCTCAGTCTTGGTCGTTGACTCTGGATAGTTGGTGCTGAATTTTTTAAGTTGTACAAGAGAAACACTACCCGCCCTGCTCCATTCTCACAATTGTTGCTATGTTTGAGCCCATTGTTGGAGCCACGGTATTGAGCCATCTCTTTGAGGACCGTCTTCTTTTTTGCTGACCAAGCATGATGTCCTTCTCCAGGGTCTGGCTTGACAACATGTCCAAAGTACGTGAGATGAAGTTTTGCCATCCTGGCTTTTAAGGATCATTCTGGTTGTACTTCTTCCAAGATAGATTTACTCACCCTGACAGCACATGGCATTTTCAATATTCATCACCACCACTATGAAATAATCCTCCTTTAAAGGCACCAAGCCTTCCCTGGTCTTCCTTAGTTATTGCTATAGTTGTGTGCTGTAGAGTCAGTTCTGACTCATAGCGACCCTTATAGGATTTCCAAGGAGCGACTGGTGGGTTTGAACAGCCGACCTTGTGGTTAGCAGTCCAGTATTGATTCTACAACGCCACACCAGGACACCTTGATGGTACCTAACAGTATATAATAGAAGCCGTGGTGGAACATGGCTAACCCATCAGCCGCTCCCTGGGAGAAGGATGTGGCAGTCTGTTTCCATAAAGATCACAGCCTTGGAAACCCTAGGGAGCAGTTCAATTGTGTTCTGCAGGATCGCAGAGAGTCAGAATGAACTGAACACCAGTGCATTTCCGTTCTTTTGTTTGGTTTGGTTTAACGGCACATAATAAAACATGGTGATTTAGATCAGTGGGAAAAGGAGGATTATTTCATAGTTTTGGATCAACTAAAGAGTGGAGGTTAAAAAAAAAAAAAGTTAGATTATTTTACTTCTTATTCCAAAACGGGATCCCTGGTTGGTACACTCAACTGCTCACCAAAAGGTTTAGAGGTTTGAGTCTACCCCAGAAGTGCCTTGGAAAAAAGGCCTGGTGATGTACTTTTTAAAAAAACAAGCCATTGAAAACTCTACAGAGCATACATAGTTCTACTCTGACACACATGACATGAGTTGGAGGCAAAGAGTCATGGTTAACTGATTCATCTTTTTTTTTTTTTTTAATTCCTAAGTAAATTTCAGATGGAAGAAAAGCTAGAATATTAAAAAACATAAAGGGACATTCATTTTCATCAAAGATTCTATATTGTTTTTGTTGTTAAGTGCCTTCGAGTTGGTTCCGACTCACAGTAATCCGGTTTAAGATTTCAAAGGCTTTGAGAGCGTAGAAAGCCTAATCTTTCTCCCACAGAATGGCTGGTGGGCTCGAACTGTAGACCTTGTGGTTTTCAGTCCAGTGTTTATCATATGGAGCTATAGAAGAGGGGAAATTTCAGGACAGAATTTCAAGTTCTCATGGACCCCAGATTTTCTGGAGCTACGGAGGGTGTGAACCCCAGAAACTATTGCCCCAAGATGATCTTTAACTCAAGCCAAAATATCTCCTGAAGCCTCCTTAAAACCAAATAATAGCTTAGCTTAACTTAAAATGTCTACATGGGATCAAAGTGGCAACAGTGACTTGAAACATTAGATAGGAACCTTAGGGGACAGTTAATGAGGGCGAAACAACTTAGAAATGAAGGGGTGCACAATTTGAAGAATGTCATCAATGCCACTGAATTGTACATGTAGAGCTCTCTACAGTGGGTGGCACTAAACACTGGAGTGACTACACTGAGCCAGGGTCGCCAATGACATGTTCAAGGTAATACAGAGATCCATGGATCCAGCCAGCTGGAGTCTGCTCATCTTCAAAGTTTATGGGTCACCAAAGAAGGACTCACCCAACAAAAATTCCATCAAGAATGATGAGCTTTCACTCTACTCAGTTCCAGAAGGCCAATCAAAATACGTGTGTGAAGCCAAGAACAGTTCACACCACACCTCTGACAGTATTAATCTGAGCCATAGACAAATCGCTATCAAGAAAAGGATTTCTATACTAAGCCTAAGATGCACAGTACTGTTCAATGGGAGAGTGGACAATGATGATTAGCTTCCAAATGTACCTGCTGGACTTGTCCCAAGACTTGGTGTTGGTTTTGCTGGCCTGGTTGGACTGCATTTTGCTAAGAAGTTCACAAAGAAGTTGGTATAGCTGTTTGGTTTCAATGAACCCTCAGCTTTACCCAGGTGGGTGTTGTTGCTGTTGTTAAGTGTCGTTGAATCGGTTCTGACTCATAGTGAGCCTCTATAGGGTTTCCAAGGAACGGCTGGTGAGTTAGGAGTGGCTGGTGAATTTAAACCGCCGATCTCGTGGTTCACACTAATCTTGAGGTCGAGTGCTTATCCTACGACACCACACCAGAGAATATTATGACTGGGGTTTGCAACAATTCAGTCATAGATTTGTGGAAGCACTTTCAAAAGCCAAGAAATTGTGAAGAATCCACTCAGAAATCAGTGAAATAATGCTATGATCGTTACCATCCGTCATGGTTATACACTTCATATAATAAACCCATATTGCTACAGAGAAATGGAGAGATGGCAACCTCCCCTATAAATTGGCTTTCTTCACCTGGACAAACTATCCCACACCCTTCTTTATCTTGGGTGGCACCATATGGTAAGTGGGCTCAATTGGAATCCTTGCACCCAGAGATAATGTACAAGCCTTACATTGTCTTGTTCTTGTGTTGACTTCTTATGCACACAATTACAATTCCAACTTAAACCCCAAAAACCCTACAAAGGGGTGTCAAAAAGTTTGTGGGAAAATTATATGATGTTTCCATTCTATTTGTCCATCACCTTTATAAGGTATACTCTGAGCAACAACAAAACAAACTAGAAGGGCAACTCTAAAGATACAGCTGTGGATTTATGAGCCCAAAAGTCCTCATGTGAAGAACGGAGCAATAAGACGACATAAGAATTTTGTAAAAGCCCTGCAGAAATGAAACACATGACAAAGAGGAAGAAATGAAAAAAAAAAAAAAAAAACTTGGGGAAGTGTTCACAAGAAACAAAGCTCAGCTCAGCTCTCCTCCCTGTGTAGAAGAATTGGTCAATATGATTAAGACCTCCGGTTAATGGAACAAGAAACTGGCAAAGATATGAACAGATCACTCACAGCAATCGGCATTACCCTGAAAAGGTGCCACACGTCGCATGAGTGAATTCACAAACAAAACACATTTGCTAATGTACCGTGTGAGCAAGGCTGTGCAGAAAATGCCACCTCTAGCCATCCTTGATGGGTATGTCAACGGTTACATCTTCTTTGCAAGACCACATGTGGGCACCGTCCATGCCAACAATAGTTTGTGCCCTTTGGCCTGCACATGTCTCCAAAAGGGGAGAGTAAGTCTATTCCCACAAGGCTGCATTCAAGAGGACAAACTGCAGTCCAAGCAGACCTCACTGTGCTTATGCTTTCCACATTTGTTGGCAACTGTGTATCAAGCAAGTCTATGGACGCCATTTTTCCAACAGCCTGTGTTGACTTTCTCTCTCTGTCCCAGTTTGGTCATATTCACCATATTCCAAACTTTGTCATCACACTATTGCATAATTTACAGGTGACAGTCTAGTGTCAACATCATTTTTCTATGCACTGGGGAACCCAAAACATTCATGTAACTCACTTTACTGCGTTATTGGCTTTGTTGCGGAGACCTGGAAACAGACATACAATATCTCCAAGGTCTGCTTGTACCTGCAAGCTGGTCACCGGAAATGGGTGGAAAGAATGATGATACATGCATCCGATGTAAGATTCACAGCTGTGAAACACACCAGGGCAGATGTGTGAAAAGCTATGGGATCATTGCTAAGAGACAGTAGTTTGTTGTGGTTTTTAGAAAGCGCAATGAAGAACATGGATGATACCTTTAGATTCTATATGAAAATCTAAAAATTCTATAAGATTAGATTCTTAGATTCTATAAGGAGCTCTGGTATCAGAGTGCTTACAAGTTGGGCTGCTAACCTCAAGCTCAGCAGTTCAAAACTACCAGCCGTTCCGTGGTAGAAAGATGAGACTTTCTGCTCCTGTAAAGATTTACAGTCTCGGAACCCCTGTTGTTGTTGTTAGGTGCCATCGAGTTGGTACCGACCCATAGCGATCTTATGCACAACAGAATGAAACATTGCCTGATCCTAGGCCAGCCTCACTACGTTGTCATGCTTGAATCCATTGATGCTGCCACTTGGCCAATCCATCTTGTTGGGGGTCTTCCTCTTTTCCTCTGACCCTCCACCCTACCAAACATGATATCCTTCTCCAGTGACTGGTCCCTTCTGACAATATGTCTGAAGTATGAGAGACAAAGTTTGGCCATCTTGGCCTCTAAGGAGCACTCTAGCTGCACTTCTTCCAAAACAGATCTATTGGTTCTATGGGCAGCCCATGGCACTTTCAATATTCTCCTCCAACACCGTAACTCAAAAGCATCAATTCTTCTACGGTCTTCCATATTCACTGTCTAGCTTTCGCATGTATATGAGGTTATTGAAAATACAGGGTCGCTATGAGTCGAAACTGATTCCACGGCACATCACCACCACCACCGTATGAAAAACAGGGTCTGTGGCTATTAGTCGTTTAGTTTATGAGTTGCCAAAATAACTTTTCTGGCTTTTTTTAAAAAAGAAATACATCAGGCATAAAAGGCCACATGTCATATGATTCCAGACAGGAGATGTTCAGAATTAGCAAGTCCAGAGAGACAGAAAGCAGATGCATGGATGCCAGAGGCTGGGCACGAGGAGGAAGTGACTGCTTGTGGAGACACCGTTTGATTGGGGTGATGACAGTCTTCTGCAATTGATAGCTGCATCTTTTTTTCAAAAGTATCACTGACCCACATCTCCACCTTGAACCTGTGCCCAGCTGAGTCTTATTTGAATGCAAACTCACTGAAGCCTTTAGTGAAATTACCAGAATGAGTAGAAATGACCAGAATGTTTGCCACAGTCCCTGTTTTCTTCAGCAGACGACACCGTAACCGGCCCTGGCCGTCACGGTCACGGGCGAACTTGTGACCAACACACAGACGTGTGCTAACCCTGCTGCCATGTAGGGACTTTTGACAATAAGTGCCTACTTCTGCCTTTCAGCCATCAGTGTCTCCTTCCTGTGAACAGCCACTTCCCTCGCAGCTGCAGCTCCCCGCTCTCTCGCCTCCCTCCCACCGGATGAGCCAAGCACAGATGGCTCTTCTGAGACTCGGGGCTGTGCTGTACCACTCCAGCTTGTCAATCTGCTGGGCTACAGGTAGGGGAGGGTGCTGAATGAGGGACAGACATTTGCATTTTAAAGACACTGGTCATCTGCCACCCTCATCCATACTCCAAAAGCATGCTTCTAGCCAATGGCTGCAAACTGTGTTGCCCCCTGGCTGGCTCTGTGTGCCAGGTATCTCTTTCACTTGCCTTCTTCAGGGAGGCTCCAACCTGGCCATGGGAATCCCTGGGTGGTGCAAATGGTTAACATGCTTGGATGACACAAAGGTTGGAGGTTCAAGTCCACTTATAGGCACCCAGAAGAAAGGCCTGGCTATCTACTTCCAAAAGCTCAGTCACTGACAACCCTCAAGGGCACAATTCTGTTCTGACACACATGAGGTGAGCATGAGTCGGCGTCACCTCCACAGCAGCTGGTTTGGATTTGAACGATCCGCTCAGGCTTCGCTCACTTCTTTTCTTTTGGATCTCACCTCACAGGATGCCCCTCAGAGATCGGTATTCTCTGGTTGCCCTCATCCCCTAGCCTGACCACCAGGGTCTGACTGCTGAGGGACCCGAGTCCCCCTGAAAGGTTCCATCGGAGGCATGCACACACTATTCCCTCATGAAGCCCCGCCTATGTCTATTTGTGAACTGGCTGATTTGCTCCTTTGGCCAATGGCTGTCCTGATGGCCCAGCACTAGCAGACTGCCTCCGTGGTCCCTCGCCTTTCTAACTCTGGATTCTCTGTCGCATACACAGGGCATGCTTCAGGAGGGCTGCAGGGGTGGAATTCTCCCCTAAAAGTGGCTCTGCTGTCGGGGGCCAAGCTTGGGGTGCTTTCTGACTTGGTCTCTCATACTTTGGACATGTTGTTGGGAACGACCAGACTCTGAAGAAAGGCATCATGGCAAAGTGGAGGGTCAGCAAAAAAGAGGAAGACCCCCAATGAGATGGACTGACACAGTGGCAGCAGTAATGGGCTCCTGCGTCACATTCATTATGAGGATGCGACAGGACTGAGCACTGTTTCTCTCTATTGTGCATAGGGTCACGAAGAATAGGAACCAACTCAACGGCACCTAACAACAACAACATCTTGGCTACCATCTTCCAGATGTCTGTGGCAAAAAGGACTAGCTCAGTCAAGTATGTTGTTAATTAATTTAATTCAATGCCTTAGTCTCAAGTTCAGCTCATTACATTTATGATCAGAAGAAAAGAGTATCTCAAAACCACCAAACCAAACGTTTCATCTTTGTTGAAAGCCAAACTAACTTTTCTTTTAGGAAAGATGAAGTACCAGCACATTTCTGTTCTGAGGAAGGAGTCCTTTGTAAAATAAAGCACTAAGTAATTTAATACATCCGAGGAGCTCTGCTGGCTCAACAGTTAAACGCTCAGCTGGTAACTGAAAGACTAGAACACATCCAGAGGCTGTACAGGAGAAAAGATCTGGCTGTCTGCTTCCCTAAAGATTGTTGTTGCTGTTGTTAGGTGCCATCGAGTCGGTACCGACTCATAGCAGCCTTATGCACAGCAGAACGAAACACCGTCCGATCCTGGGCCAACCTCACTACTGTTGCCACGCTTGAGTCCATCGATGCTGCCACTTGGCCAATCCATATCATTGGGGGTCTTCCACTTTTTCTCTGACCATTCACCTTACCAAACATGATATCCTTCTCCAGTGACTGGTCCCTCCTGACAATATGTCCGAAGTATAAGAGACGAAGTTTGGCCATCTTGGCCTCTAAGAAGCACTCTGGCCGCACTTCTTTCAAAACGGATCTATTGGTTCTTTTGGCAGCCCATGCATGGCACTTTCAATATTCTCTTCCAACACCCTAACTCAAAAGCATCAATTCTTCTACGGTCTTCCTTATTCACTGTCACATGCATATGAAGTTATTGAAAACACCATGGCTTGGGTCAGGCACGCCTTAGTCCTCAAGCTGACATCTTTGCTCTTCAGCACTTTAAAAAGGTCTTGTGCAGCAAATTTGTCTAATGCAATATGTCGTCTGATTTCTTGACTGCTGCTTCCATGAGTGTTGATAGCTGATCCAAAAAGAATGAAGTCCTTGACAACTTCATTCTTACAGTCTACAAAACCCTACAGTGGTCACTTTGAATTGGAATCAACTAGAGGAGACCTCCTTAACAACAATTTAAAACACAACACATGTCCCTCTCCCCAGGGAGAAAACCCACACCAAACCAACCTGTTGTTAATTACAACTCACAGTGGCCCTACAGGGTAGAAAACTGCTCCATAGAGTTTCTAGGGCTGACATCTTTACAACAGACTGTGATATCTTTTTCCAGTGAAGCAGCTGGGGGGGTCAAACCACCATCCTTTTGCTGAGCAGCCGAAGACTTTACCATGGCACTGCCAGGGCTCCTGATTGGAGAAGACCCCTGCACTTCCAAGGCAGGACTCCTCCAGCAGTGTGCAGCATGCATGGTACCTTTTGGCTCCGCCTGCATCTGGGGAGACGATGATGCAGCTCTTCCACTCAGCAATGTTCTCTCGGATCCACTGCAGGACCGCAGGCTCCGCATACAAGTTATCCACGGGAATGTCAAAGAAGCCCTGTGGGGAGACACCAGAACCATCTGTCTTTCTTACAGGAGTGCTTGCTTACAGATCATGGCTTTCATGAAATAAACACTGCACTTTTTATTCAAAAGAAGCTTTGGTAGCTGACTCACTTTTCTGAATTGTAACCAATTGAAATAAAGCCACAGACATGTATCAGAAGCATGGGATTTTTTACATTGTCTTATGTTTGCCTGTATTGCTGAGGAGTATAAGAAGGCCCATGGGGGAGGGAGAAGATGTCTTGTTTCTTAAGCAACTACTATACACCCAGTACTTGTCATAGACAGTATAATTAGGCCTGGTTTGCAGATGAAGGAGCTAAGCTATGAAGTGGTTAAAGAACAGATACACATCATGACATCATGAATCTGTCATTTAATCATTTGCCAGCAGTGAAGAAGGAATTATATAGTGTTTACTCACCAGCTGTTCCACGGAAACCCTATATAGGGTCACTATGAGACGGAACCAACTCGATGGCACTTAACAACAACTAAGGAGTCCCTGGGTGGTGTAAATAGTTAAAGCACTCTGCTGCTCCAACCGAATGGTTGGAGGTTCAAGTGTACCCAGACGTGCCTATGAAGAAAGGCCTGGCAAACTACTTGTATAAAACCAGCCACTGAAAACCCCATGAAGCACACTTCTACTCTGATATTCATGCGGTCGCCACGAGTTCGGAGTTGATTCGATGGCACCTGGCTTATTTTTTAAACAAGAGGTCGTTTCTACTTTGCTAAAATTGGTGGAGGGGTTATAATGGATTGAATTGTGCTCCCTTCACCCCAAAATATATGTGGAAATCCTAAGCCCTGTACTTGTGAATACGGAGCCCTGATGGGGCTATGGGTTAAGTGTGGAGCTGCTATCTGCAGGGTCAGCAGTTCAAATCCACCAGCCACTCCACGGAATAAAGATGAGGCTGGTCACTACTCAGTGGCAGTGGGTTTTGGTTTTGGGGTTTGGTACCCCTATGAATGTTGCAGCCCTGTTTGGAAATAAGGGTCTTTTTCTTTTGTTATGTTAATGAAGCAATTTCATAGAATTGACGTGGGACCTAAACCTAATAACCCCTTTGGAGTGGTATCGGATAAAAAAGGAAAACAACTACAGAGACACACACAGAGGAAAGATGCCAAGTGACAACAGAGGTAGATGCCATGTATAAGCAGGCAAAGAAACGCCAAGGGCAGTGGCAGCCACCAGCAAGTAGAAGAGAGGCCCCCAGAAGGAATCAACACGGCTAAGACCCTGAACTGGACTATGAGTCTCCAGAACTGTGAGCAAATAAATGTCTATTCTTTCAAGCCACTCACTAGCAGTATTTGTAAGAAACCAACACAAGAAACTAAGCCACAAAGAGGCAAAGCTAATGCCAGACTAGATGTCCAAGTTCAGTAAAGACCAAAACAACAGAAGTCATATACAAACCCAAGCACAAGCAGCTACTTTTAAAAGTATTAAGGTGAACAGAGTTAGGACCTAAGCACACCCATTAAGCGCCAGATTGCAAGCAGCAGAGAGCAATCCGTCATACCTGTATCTGCGAGGCATGAAGGTCCATGGTAATGATGTGGTCAGCCCCAGCCACCGAGAGCATGTTGGCCACAAGCTTCGCAGAAATCGGAGCCCGGCTCTAAAACAATAAGGGGATCGAATTTGTAAGAGGGAAAGAGAAGGAGAAAAATGGACACAGTGAGATGACTACATGAGAAACAGAAGTCACAAGATAAAACCAACACAGTAAAGAAACGTACACATGTTGCAAGGTAGTCGGGATGGCGCAATGGCTACATGCTCGACTGCTAGGTGGAAAGCTGGTAGTTTGAACCCGCTAGCATCTTCATAAGAGAAGAGACCTGGAGATCAACTTCCATAAAGATTACAGTCTAGGAAACCCTACTGAGCAGTTCTACTCTGTCCTATAAAAACAAAACCAACATCCACTCCCAATGAGTTAGTGTGTTGTTGTTGTTGTTAAATGCCATCGAGTCGGGTCCGACCCATAGCGACCCTGTACAGGGTTTCCGAGGGTGTAAGTCTTTGCGGGAGTAGAAAGCCTCATCTTTCTCCCGCGGTGCGGCTGGTAGTTTCGAACCGCTGACCTTAAGGTTCGCAGCCCGATTCGTAACCAATGAGTTAGTGTAGTGGTTACGAATCGGGCTGCTAATCTCATGGTGAGCAGTTTGAAATGACCAGCCATTCCGCAGGAGAAAGATGAGGCTTTCTGCTCCAGTAAAGATTTACAGCCTCAGAAACCCTGTACAGGGTCGCTATGAGTCGGAACTGACTCCAAGGCACATCACAACAACAACCACTGAGTTGATTCTGACTCAGTGATCCTATATAGGATTTCTGAGGCTATAAATCTTTAGAGGAGCAGAATATTAAGTCTTGGATGAAGTACAGCGAGAATGGCAAGACTTTGTCCCATGTAGTTTGGTCATGTTATCAGGAGGGACCAATCCCTAGAGAAGGGCATCATGGTTGCTTGGTAGAGGGTCAGCAAAAAAGAGGAAGACCCTCAATAAGATGGAATGACACAGGGGCTACAGAAATGGCCTGAAGCATAACAACAGTGTGGATGGCACAGGTCATGAGGTCATCATGAGTTGGAACTGATTTGATGACACACAATTAAAAATGTCACATGTTGTAATAACAAGAGATATCTTCATTACACTTTCATCCATCAAATATTTGCTGATCAAATCCTGTTGGGAGACAGTGTGTTTTGGCACAGACATTCAATCGAGAACAAACCAACTATCAAATAAGTAAGCCATTAAATATATAACTAACAACGGGGTTTCATTCTGGCAATTTTGTCATAAGCCAGTTCTCATATAAGCTGTATACCTCATGTTTTTTTTAAGTTTTCATTATTTCCTTTTATTACCAGTACTTTTATAAATTTGATTTTTGTCTTCGTGGGCAGGAAATGTTACATATAAGTTTATTGTTGTTGTTGTAAGTGTCATAGAGTTGATTCCAACTCATAGTAACTCTGTATAGGGTTTCCAAGGCTGTAAATCTTTTTAGGAGCAAAATGCCTCATCTTTCTACTGTGGAGAAGCTGGTGGGCCCACACTGCCAACCATAAAGGTGGCAGTCTAGTGTTTATCCTACAGAGTCACCACGGTCCCATAACTTATTGTTGTTGTAAAAAATGCTGTTGAGTTGGTTCCAACACCTAGCAACCCTGTATAGGGTTTCTGAGTAGTGGCTTGTGAGTTTGAACCGCCGACCTTGTGGTTCAGACCAATCTGTAGTTCACTGTATTATCCTGTAGCAATAGATCCATTTAAATACATACATTAAAAATTCACATATGCATTAAAAGAGATGGATGGCTCTGGTATTTTGTCAGATGCAGTAATAACTCCACCGGTAGAAGGTTCTGGATCATGTGGATTACCCCTGGGGATGGGGATGGAATTTTTAGTAAGAAAATTAATCAGAGTTGTCTGTATGGTCTTTTGATGTAGTAAATATTACTAACAATAAGATGTATAAAAAACAGAATCCAAACAGTCGAAAGTGTGGTTCATTGTTAACTAATATGCTATAAATTGTGGACTACCTGTATACGCACATAATGGCACGATTTGCATTATTCAAATTATGCCATGTGTGCGGAACTAAAAGAACAGGGACAGAGAAAGAGACAACACAGCAGGAAGGACCTGTTAGACATTTGCTAGAAGCCCCTCCAAGGAAATTATGTTTAAGATGAGTTGAGCAAAAGCAGGGAGAACATTCCAGAGTGGAAGCAGCCCACAGAATCACACATTCAGAGACTGAACAAAGCCTCTCGTGGTTCCAGGTAGCGGTCAAGGAGAGCTATGAGACAACAGTGTACATGCTGACAGCTGGAAGCCCACATGGTTATAAATTAAACACAACCGACAAAAGGGACACCCCTTGGGATTATTTAAAATTTAATATTGAAAGAAACAGAGTATCTCCATGGAGTTCTGTGTGGTACAAATGGTCAATACACTTGGCGACTAACCAAAAGGTTATGTCTGCTCCCGTAAAGATTTCCAGCCTCGGAAACCCTGTACAGGGTAGCTATGAGTCGGAACTGACTCCACGGCACATAACAACAACAACAGAGGCACTTTGAGAAGAAAGGCTTCGAGATCTACTTTCAGAAAACCACCCACGGAGAATCCTGTGGAGCACAGCTCAGTGTTGACATACAGGGGTGCCATGAGTTCTAGAGATGACTCTACAGAAACTGGCTTTGTAAACTGCTCTAGGGCATAGTGGGACTCCTGGTGTGGCGCTGTAGGATCAGCACCGGGCTGTGAACCACAGGTTCGGCAGTTCAAACCCACCAGCTGCTCCTTGGAAACCCTATACAGGTTCACTATGAGTCAGAACCGAGTTAACGGTACTTAACAACAACAACATGGCATAGTGGGTTATGAATTGGGCTGTTAATCACAAGGTCAGCAGTTCGAATCCATCAGCCATTTCTTAGGAGAAAGATGAGGCTTTCTGCTCCCATAAAGATAGGCAGCCTCAGAAACCTTATATAGGGTCACTATGAGTTCGAACCTACTTGATAGCACATCACCACCACCATAGCTTTAATTTCCATATCCTACTTTGTGGACAACAGAACCATCTACACTTAAAAAGATCCAAGAAGACTTAGACCAGGCAACAGCCTTCAGCATTTTGCTATAAATAATAGCATGCCTTTAACAAAAGAGAAAATGTAAGCTTCACAAGATTTTATTCTAAATGTTGTTGTTAAGTGCCATTGAGTTGGTTCTGACTCATAGCAACCCTGTATAGGGTTTCTGAGGAGTGGCTGGTGAGTTTGAACCCCTGACCTTGCAGTTCAAACCGACCTTGAAGTCAAGAGCTTATCCTTCAGCGCCACACCAGGATTCCTTATTCTAAACAGTCACATACAGATAATCACAGTTCTACTTTGTCCTATATGAGTCAAGTCAGATCTGACTGGACAACAGTGGGTTTGGGACAGACGCTGAACACGTGCACATATGCACACATGCCTGTGCCCTTCCTAGTCTGTCTTAAGCCTGTAAACTTCACTGAAACCAGTCAGCATCCCAGCAACACATTTGCCTCCCCTGGCAGATGGTGGTGGTCACATATGAGGAGTCCTGGAATGGAACCCAGGTCTTCCACATGGAAGGCAATGATCTTATCTCTAAACCACCACTGCCCTGCAGTGAAACCTATATTGTTACCTTATGTTTTCATCATTTAACTGCCCTGGTGCACACTACCTTTGAGATGAAACGAAATTTTTTCAGCTTTAATATCCCAAGCCTCCTCCTTCCCACCACCACTGGGCAAGCCCACTGTCCTTTTCTACAGAAGGCTTTAAACCTGGCTTCTTCGGAAGACAGCCCCCAACACAGCCTGCTCTTCCTCCCAACTCAGCTGCACCAAGATTTTTGATTCTTCCAATCTGGTTCCAAACTTCCAACCTTAAGGCACTCAGGAAATTCCAGGTGGAGGTCAGTGAGCTTATTTTCCCGTGAAGATTTAAAGCTTCAGAAACCATATACAGGAACTATAGCACACCACCACCACCACTAATAGAAATACCATGGAGAAAACAGCTTAGCTATCGCTCTTGATCGTTCCCCTTGAACATCAATTTCTCTAAGTTACCTCGAAGGTAAAAACCACATCTTCTAGGTCTTCTAAAAACGCACAGACCCTCCTATAATACTAAGACTGCTTTAAAAAAATAATTAAAATAGCTCAGCAACATCAACTTTGCACTTCTTGAAAGGTTAAGAAGAGCTAATGGCATTTTTTAAATTAAAAACATTTTAAAATTATTTTGTTGTTGTTGAGATTTTATGCATAACAAAACTCAGCAGTTTCTAGAAGTACAGTTTAGGCGCATTGATGACAGTCTTTCAGTTGTATGAACATTCTCAACCTCAGGGCAGCTATTGAATCTTTTGAGCTGCTGTTGTCAATTTGATCTCATATAGACAATTCTTTCCAAAAGCATAATGCTTAAGGCAGGCATTCTTTACTAGTGAGAGTAAACTACTGTTTGATTTTACAGCGACTTGAGGAACTATTTTTGGCTTAAGGACTTCATCTAGTTCTTCTGATCTCATGAATGGAATTAGCCATGTTTCCTTCCTATTCAGGACCAAATTTATTTTGCAATGATTGTAGATTCACAGGCAGTTGTAAGAAATACTAGAGATTCCCCTGCATCCTTTCCCCCACTTCCTCCAATGGGAACTGCTGGTGAACTTGAATACACTCTCACAATCAAGGATCTTGACATCAATATAACCCACTGTTATGTTTGTGTTGAGGAGTTGGTGTGTTTATACAATTGTAGCACATGGGTAAGTTCATGTATCCATCACCACCACAAAGATACACATCAGTTTCTTCATCACAAGGAAGATAAAGACATTTCAGTACCTGCAAAAACAGGCTTCATCTGTTTCCACTTTTATAAACATTAACATGATGGCTGGCTGAAAGACAAATCTTTGAAAAAGACTAGAGAAAAATATCTATTTATTCAATCATTGAGATAGAAACCAAACATTTCCCAGCTATTTTCATTGAGGCAATATGCAAGGGCAAAAATCAAGACATGAACCCAAAGCAGGTTCTTTGAACAGGACACACCTCGCCTACCTTGTCCTTTTTATCTTGGCGGGCGTACGGGAAGCATGGGATCACAGCCGTCACCCTGGATGAGGATGCGATTTTGCAGGCGTTGATCATGATGAGGAGCTCCATCAGGTTGTCATTGATTTCTCCGCAGCCACTCTGGATGATGTAGACATCCTCCCCTCTCACGCTCTCACCGATCTCCACACTACCAAAGGAAAACCAGACCCATTCAGATGAAAGTCATGTCACCCCTAGTTTCAATGATTCGCTGGGAAGACTCTTAAGATGTAGCAGATGAATAGATAAACTGCAGAGAAAACACAGAAATGCACATGAAAAAAAAAAAGTAATTCACTTTAAATGTGCTGCCTGGATCAGCTCAGAACAGCAGCTATGCAGTGTTCAATATTGGTTCTGAACAGTGATCTACACTGGGACGATGGGTACATGCATATGGTGACATGGCAGAGGAACTAGTTTGATCCTTTTCTTCCACAGTGAGGGATCAATACCGGAAGCTTAAAATGAAATCAAGACATAGCAATGTAAACATGGTTTACCTAAAAACTATGTAAAGAATTGAGATTGATTACCTTTGGACTGTTAATTTGTTATAAGTCTTACAGAATGATTTGTCTTTTGTGAGCAGTGTTTATAGTGTTGCTGTTAAGGGTTGTCGAGTCAGTTACAACCTAGAACCCATATAGGGTTTCTAAAGCTTTAAACCTTCTTGAGAGCAGAAAACCTCATCTTTCTCTTATAGTGTGGCTGGCGGGCTCGAACCATGGACATTGTGGTTCACACTACAGTGTTTATCGTATGGATCCACCAAGCTCTCAATGTATACATATAACTGATAAAAACAAAAAGGCATTCTCAAGAAGCTATGGGAGAATGCTTATCAGCACAACAAAATATACCAAGAAAGGGGATACAGAAAATGGTAAATTCTGTGCAGGAGAGGTGAAGAGAATCCGGCTGTGATGTACTAACTATAGCAAAAGGAGATGGAGCAAAATCAACAAAGGGTAAAGATGTGTGGGCTGAAATTTGGGGAAAACTAGGCACAAACCTCCAGAGTCCTGTCCTCATGGAGTTGCAAAGGACATGTGTACTCACTCCATGATAACCCATGGGAAATGATGCCTACCCAGGAAGCTCCCTGAAGACTCTGTGCCCAGGGGGTTCTTGGTAGCTGGTCACATTGGTACCACTACTTAACACATACCCAAATTCCAGACTCCCCAAAGGAAAGTTGATGTTCAGTAGAAACCAAATTGTTTATACAATTTAGACCCCATGAGCCACTCTTCTCAGTTAGGGAATGGTGGGAAGCCTTGTGAAATCCAAAGACCTTTCTAATAAGGCTAGCAGTCATGAACCTGACATGGTAATGTCTTCCTGCACAAAATTATCATTTTAGCCAAGTTTTGTTTTTTTTTTTTTCCCTCCAGTTGCTGTCGAGTCCATTCCAACTCATAGTGTCCCCTGTGTGTGTCAGAGTGCTCCACGGGGTTTTCCATGGTTGAGTTTTCGAGGCACTTCTGGGAGGACTCAAACTGCCAATCTTTGGGTTAGCACCAAGGGACTCTGAATTCAATCCTCGACATGTTGAAGGATCTAAAAACGCTTCAAGATTTCAGAGGGCTTGAAGTACATCATTTTGTGTCCTGCAGATGCCTTTCCACAAAATGACTGGGGTTATCTTTCTGCTTGGGCACAGTTGCCACTCGGGGGTTCCCTTCACTCCTCTCCTACACAGCATTTCCCATTTTCTGCATCCTCTTTCTTGGTGGACTTCCTTGTTTTGTTGATGGGCATCTCAGGTAGTTCCCTGAGAAACAGTAAATAGGAGTTAAATTTTTTGAAACTCGCATGCCTAAAAATGGCTGTTTTCTACTCTTCCTTTTTCCTTCATCCCCCTTCTTTCCTTTCCCTGTTTTCTTGATAAAGAACTCTGGCTTGAACTTTTTTGTTGCTCCAATGCGTTCTAATTTACAACACTGCTGTAAATCTGAAGACATTCTGATTCTGGATTCTTTACGTAGGACTGTTGTTTTTTCTCTCTCTAGAAACTTTTCGAGTCTTCACTTTAACCCTCGGGTTCTGAAATTCAAGTATGACCTACTCTGTTTGGGTCTATTTTCACCTATTGTGTTGGGCATTTAGTACTTTCTATCTGGAAACCCCCATCCTTCAGCCCTGGGAACTTTTCCTAAATTAATTCTTTCATGATTTCTTCTCTACTTGCTCTGTGCTTTGTGAGGCAGCTGCTATTTGTCAGTTGTGTTGTTGTGTTAAAAATTTGTTGTTGTTGTTGTTAAGTGCCGTCGAGGAGCTTCTAAATACTATATTTTGTCTTCCTCCCTCTTTCCACATCTTTGTCAGCGTTCTAAAAGAATTACTCCATTTTATCTTCCAAATGCGTTCATGAAGCTTTTAATGATGATTATTTCTATGATTACATTTTAATTTTTCAAAGCTCTTTTGTATTCTCTGATGAGCACTTATTGTTTTTATTGTTAATCATGTTTAATTTATTATGACTGTAGGTCTCCTATGTCATTGAGGAGATTAACTTTTTGTTTATTCTTTCTTAAAATCTGTTTCCTCTAAGTTGCCTCCCCTTCTCCCCCTTTGATTTTCATCTTTTACAGATGGCCTTTCTTCACATTCAGTAGTTGTGGTTGTGAGCCTTCAAGTCAGTTAAGACTCACAGTCACCAGAGGCTGCAAATCTTTACAGAAAGTTTCATCTTTCTCCCATGGACTGGCTGGTAGATTCAAACTACTCATTTAAACAGTGCTGTTGTTGTTGTGTGCTATTGAGTCGGTTCCAATTCACAGCAATCCTCTATAAGGTTTCTGAGGAGCGGCTGATGGGTTTGAACAGCCAACCTAGTGGTTAGCAGTCCAGTGCTGCTCCCACAGCAGCACCAGGAGCATGATTATTTGGGGAGGTGGTCCTTGTTAGTGCTGGGGAAGGGTAAATAGAGGTTCCTTATATTGTTCTTTTAACTTTTGTATGTACTTGAAAACTTTTATAAAACACTTTTAGAAGCTATCCTTTTAATTAATGGATATATGTCCCGTTACCTAGTCACCCTACATCACAACCATGCGGGCTGACAATCAAAGAGCTTTCCCTATTATGGGTCAGTCACAGGAAGTGGATGGAGGAAATCACTCCCCTAAACAGTGACTTTCCAAACCAACAGTCCATGCTCTGATGGAAATCCCAACCGATGTATCGTAGAAGCTTCCAACCCACTCCTAAGGTTCAAAAATGCACACTTATGCAAACATTTTAGCTGCCATTGTCTAACAGAATCATTTATGACATTTTGGCAGTGGCTCTCAATAAAGGAAGGAAGACCTGCTCTGCCTCCTAGGAGACATTTGGCAATGCTTGGAGACATGTTTGATGGTCATGACTGCTTGTGGGGAGAGGGTGCACTGTGGGTAGTTAGTGGATAGAGACTAAGGATGCTTATTAAATGTCCTACAATGCACAGGACAGCTCCCACCACAAAGAATGATCCAGGCAGAACTGTCAATAGTGCTGACATTGAGAAACCCTGAAATAAGCAGACAGCAATCATTTCTCAAGGAGCCCTCGTGGCGCTGTAAGGTAATCACTGGACTGCTAACTAAAAGGTGGGCACTTTAAACCCACCAGTCACTCCACAGGAGAAAGACAAGGTTTTCTGCTCTGGTAAAAATTAACAGCCTCAGAAACACTATAGACTTGTTGTGAGTCAGAATCAGTTCTATCTTAAGTTAAAGTAAAGCATTTAAAGCATTAGTGATGTCACCTCTCCCCACCTTGCAAGAGGATGGGGTCTGTGGTTTAGGTGTTGCCCTGACTGGGCTGTGAGTATCGCATCTAGTCAAAAACGGTAGACTCAACTATTTCAGATTTTTATTTTCATAAATAAAAGCATCTTCAAATACAAAATTCAAAAGGATTTTCAAATTGAATATAAATGCAATTCAGGTCAGGAACTCCCAAGATAGGTCTTGTATTGGCTTTTATGCCCTCTTTCTATTTTTAATCATTCTGAATTTTGTTCCACATTTTCTCTCACTCTATTCAGGACTTTCTAATGGGATCCCTCCCTTTCAGAAAGTTGATAGTGGTAGCCAGGCATCGTCTAGCTCTTCTGGTGTCAGGGTCGTGGTCCACTAGTTCATTGGACTAATTGATTCCAAGCATCGTCAATTTTCTTCCCTCCACACAGGGAGACACCAATAGTTGCACCTTCAAAGTTACTATGTTTTTCAATTAACCATCAGCTATAAGGTTTGTTTATACTCAATAACATACATGAAAATGTAGTTCCAAGCTGCTAAGGAAATTAGTATACATGCAACTCACGTAAACACAATTGAGCATGTGATGGTGGAGACGGCGTGCTGTGGAATAGGTTCAGACTCAGAGTAACGCTGCATAGGGTTTCCAAGGCTGTAAATCTTTATGGGAGCAGAAACCCTCATCTTTCTCCCTCCAAGTGGCCAGTGGATTTGAACAACTGACCTTGTAGTTAGCAGCCAAACACATAACCCACAGTGCTACCAGAGCTCCTTGAGTATGTGTTAGTAAAGACAAATCATGATTTATCAAGTTAAAAAATACATGTGTTTAAGCAGGAATTCAAATGGTAATGCAGGACATGGAAGACACCTCACCCACTACTTACTGCCAACTCTCTTCTTCCTTTGTCCGCATCTCCTACATGACATTAAAGCCTAAAACATGTGATATTCTAGTCTTCTGGTGTGGTGCTGTGGGTTAATGTGCTGGACTGCAAGGTCGGTTTGAACTGCAAGGTTGGCTGTTCAACCTTAACAGTTGCTCCTCAGAAACCCTATACAACGTCTCGATGAGTTGGAACCGACATGACGGCTCTTAACAGCAACAACAAGGAGGCTTCAAAAAGTTCGTGGAAGAATAGGTCATGGAAATTTCCCATGAGCGTTTTGAAGCCCTAGTAGAAACAGAAGTCTCAGGGCCCCAGGGTTGTACCACTGTGTAACTCCAGAGGGCATCATCACCATGCGCCATCATCTCCTTTCTGACTTGCTTCCTGTTTCAACATAGACTTGACGCCCAGAGCTATAGTAGTCATGTTGCGACCATGAAGAGTCCCAAGGCTCTAACGCTACACTGTTCAGCCACCACCTACCTCTGGATTTCTTGTTACAG